TCCTTACTTATCCAACAGAGAGAGAGCTTTACCACAAGAAATGCCACTTCCTGCAGGACCTCAACCAGAACCTCCCAGACGRCGCTTTAAGGAGGTACATGTCATTCCTTGCCATAGTATATGGTTGTTAAYTGTCACTGTATCTTTACTAACAGTRTTRTTTCTTTTATTTTCCCTGTTATCCTTCCTCTTGTTCCCCCTTCCTGTATTCATGTAGGCATCCCGAAGTGAACTGACACAGGAATCCCAACCAAGGAATTATCAGGTGCTTTGGATTCTTTCATTGAATAACTATTACATAACAATTGATATATAAAGCAATTTTTTTTTAAAAAAGAGTATGGAAAAGAGTTTCATACAGTTGTTAGAATTGTAGATTTAGAAAATAATGAGAAAGAGTTTCCTGAAATTTTTTTTCATGTTTCTTTCTTACTTAGAATCATTAGTTAAACTGCTGATGAAGTCTGTTGTTTCCACAGAAAAATAAGAGACTGCACTCAAAGTTATCTAATTGAACAAGACTTGGACATGTCATTACATCTCTTCTATTCTTAGATATAGGGGGACAGATTAACCTTGTTTGGCTACTTGTATTTATCTGATTAAAAGTCAGCAAAAGATGCAAAACAAAAAGTTTAAAGTTGATGACTGACATAGCCAAGTCTTTTATGTTTTTTTGTTCATTAACTTATGCTTGTTTATTCTCTCTTGTCTGCTGATGATGAATTTGTTCCAGGAAAGAATACCAGAACCATGTCCTTTAGGTAATAAACAAGATCCTCGTCACAAGAATGTTTCAATGCTGCCACCATTGATGCCACAAATGAAATCACAGCCAAATCCACCTGGGGATGAGTTTAAAAAGCCTTTAGGGGCAGCCAAACCCTTCCTSGTYCCYCCTCCTCCTAAGGATATCRTCAGAAAGGAAAATACTTTAAGAAGACCAGAATTACCAGGTACTGTCTGGTATCTGTCATCAKAATCATTAGTCATCATGCCAATCAAAATCTCAGTAATGGTTTCAAAGAGGTCATGTATGTATGAAATGAAATGCAATCTTTCTAAATAGTTTTTCTTTTCTTTTTCATGTGACTTGCTTGCTGACTTGGACCTGACCATGGTGATTTATACTTATTTTTACTCCTATTTTCCATTCCCATATTTGTATTTCTTCCCTTTTGTCTGCATGGAGGATCTTTAGGTAACACCAGAAAACATGTTCTGCCCAAAACATCTGAYGAGTCACCATCRAAGAGATCAAGAAAAGAAGAAAAAGACACAACRTCTGCACTACTTTCATTAGTAGCATATGATGAAGACTCATCTGAGGAAGAAGATGAAACAACTTCACCAACATCTCAGTCTTACAACAGGGCACCATCTAAACCTAAAACTACAAATCTTCCTTTTTGGGCTGTTGGAAAGTAAATTTGGTTGTTTTTTTGGTTGATGTTCCATGTGGAACATGTTGTCTCCCTGTCTGTTGCACTTGCTATAGTGTACGTACTTGTTCAGCAATTGTGTGTACTGTAGTTCTGGTATTCTTGGTGTTTTGATGGGATAACTAACCTCTAAGCCTGCGAGATAGCTGTGATGGTGTTTTAAATGAAGAAATAGTTGTTTTAAATTCATACATTTCACATAAAAAAACTCTGAAAACCCACTCATCACATTTCTGAGTCTTTGACTCTGATGACATTCAAAACATTAGTTGTTGTTGTTGTTCTTTTTTTGCAGTTGGTTGATGTGAGTGATGTATTGGTTAGATTTGCGTACTGTATTCTTAATTATTTATTAAGCTTTAGTTTCTTTAATGCACTGTACTGCATTAACTACTAAGATTTTGTTGTTTTGTGGAGTAGTTGTGTGATTCTGGCTGTAACACATGTTTCTGTTAATTGTCGGATACTGTGAATCATTATCACAATTGATGTCCACTTTCTCTGTATCATATGYATCTGTGCTGAATCAAATTTAATGTCTTTCTCTGCATGACATATATCCAATATATTTAACATTCGATGTCTATATACATTTAGCCAATATCTTCTTTCACCAACACATGAGACTCCATTACAGCATCTGTACGCTTACAYCCCATTGTTYWCTRTCACCAGTACAYGTTTACCATTTATTTTGTTCAAATTATCATCTCATACGATACATCTGGGTTCTTTAGCACCCAACACACACCAATGATAAAGCTGTATTTAAAGGTCATCATAAAATTTTTCTATTTGAACAGTACTTACATTTGTCCAACCCTAAGGAACCACCTCAAATTGTATATATAGTGTACGTCATTGGTTTATAATAAACTTGATAAATTATAGGGAATTTTTTTGGRTAGTAATATCTCTTTTAAATGAATTCTATTTATAAATTTATGGGAATTATTTGGGTTATCTTATTGTTATTGCATTTCCTTCTTATATCTGTGACTGATTTTATTGTTTTATCAACAATTAACAAAAAAACAAAAGGCACTTAGGGRGAAAATATTTTCAATTAACAATGAAGTTAGTAAAAGATAATAAACAACGTAAAATTTACTTTTTTTRTGCCCACTAGCATATTTTCAAATGATTGAAAGAATAGCTCAAACAACACCAGTATTTTTCTTCCTTTTTTTCCCTTCCTGCACTTGTAAGTATAAAGACCCTTTCAGATACTGAGCACTTGTAAAACGTGTCAAATGACAACTTGAAAATGTTTCAGATGCTTGAATCCAAGAAAGCCTTTTCTCCATTASTACTGCAAGATGCCATTTCATTTTTAAAAAGCCATTTTGCCACTTGATGTTTCTCAATGAGTGTTTCTCAAGTTTTCACAACTGGAAATAATTATCATTTTCTGACAACTCAGATAGCTTTATTTGATTACCAATATCAGTTGTGTAATATAAGTAATTATCTTTATTTAATTTACTTTATTCTTAAAAGATCTCAAATATTGACCTTGATATTTGAAACTGTTTTTTGTACATCAAAAACGTTTTTTATAGTGAAGTGCAGTGTCTAATGTTCTTGCAGTGACATGCATTTGAGAAAGACCAGTGTAGGTTATATGTATGTTGCCTATGATTATGCTGTTAGTCTACTATGTAACCTACTGTCACAATAAAGATCTTTGCATGAAAGATATGTATGTAAATTGTACTTGATAAAGAAATCCTGAAATTTTTGACTTGGCCTTTAATATATTATTGTTTCTCCTTCAAAGAAAGAGTATTAATAAGTAAAGTCATGGTATGCAAATGTGTGACTGATAAGAGTCAAATTGCACCCTCAGTTTTTTATCTTTTTTTCCATTAAATATTGAATGAAAGTTTTTATAGATTCTATGTAATTTTCATGTTTGTCATTTTTTTCCTGATAAGGTTTATTGATGATCATTTGTTAGTGATAAGTCAAAATGATAAYCTGACCAATACATCTGGCAGTTGCTCAACATCTTTTAGCGCAAAGCCTACATTTGTCTCATGTTTCTCAGGCAGTTTCTTGAACATCTTCACATTTAATTACATTATGAACAACTTTTCCAAGGTCATTGTGCAAGTAAAAGTAGCTTTTTTCACTGGAAAATAACTTTGTGAATAGTTTGCAAGAAATGGTTGCAGARTGAGACATCAAAATTATTATTTGTAATAGATATTGATAACAAATGTACACTATTATGTGCACTTGTACTGAGCTGTTTATGTTTCTGAGATGGATACTATAGATGTAAAATTGAAATATATGTAGTATGTCAAATTGTCCTGTCTTTGGAAATGCTTGAGACCATTGATTGTTGTGTTTTCAATTATAATGGTATGTGGATGTCTTTAATAGTTCATGCATAACGGCTTGTTAAAATTCCCTCTATTGTTCCCTGTTGAGTTATTTTGAGAATTTGAATARCAGAAACAAAACACCCCCAAGGAAAGCCATTAGTTAGARCATCTCTTATTGTCATGCTGCACAGMAGAACAATACATTAATTCTTCCTCTGTTGGGGGCAGCCTTAACAACATTGATCTATGCAAAATTATAACCAATTATTAAATGCRTCAAAACAAATGAAATACCATGAGTGTGGGTGCTAACTTTTATTAAGTGCTGAAGTCCAATAATACAAAATAACTTAAATAATCCCATGCAAACTAATGTCTACAACACTAAAATATCATATATAAAAATATATAATAAGTACAAAAATATATTACCTACCCTGGCTTTGTAAATTCTAATTMTAGATAAAATCTAGGGTAAACAACCTTTACTTCCCGTGTAATGGAAGATGTACATGTAAAACATCACCTGTACTGTAATTTTACCAAAACGTTTAAATAGCAGGTGTTTTATAACTATCAGTGTAATAGTTAATGATATATATTAATTCATAGGCAAATCCAACTATAAATTATACAATAATATATTAAATATCTTTGTACATGGCATAAAATAACACCTAAATCCTCTCAGCAGAAAAAGGAAAGTTGTAGAAGGATCAATTGTTAATTTATGACAATCAATATTATCCTACACATGTCTAAATTGCTATCAGTGATGGAGTCCACTATAGATGTACTAGCAATTGATTTCCAATCTGGCAAACCCCAATGTGGCAAGAGAGTTTTTTCTCTTTCCCTCAGTTCACATGCAAGCCAGTTTCATAAACAGAAGTTACATGTAGAACTTTAAAGGTGAGGAATTGTTCTGCATGGCTAGTTACAAAATAGTAATCAAATTTCTGTACATCTGCTACCTTGTAAAATAAGTTAAACCACTTTCTATCAACTATTGATTACAATGTGATAATTTACAACAGTAACACATCACTGTTACATCAATCTTAGTGCAACACAGCCAAAGTTGCAGCGAGCATTCACAGTTCCCACTACACTCCAAGTGTTCTGATCTTTATCATAATAYTCAATGCTGTTCACAACTCTTCCTCCAACAACATAAATTAAATCATTAACAACTGCAACTCCTAAGCAGCGGCGACCATTGTTCATGCTTGCAACTGCCTGGCTCCATGTATCAGTTTTGGCATTGTAGACTTCAACACTGTTACTGTAYGACTCCCTGTTATCAGACCCTCCTATWGCATACAGTAGTTCCCCAAGGACAGCCACCCCAAGGCTCCAACGAGCTGTTGTCATTGATGCTATGGGTTCCCATCGACTGTTTTTAGGRTCGTAGCGTTCTGCTGTTCTCAGTGGTGCCCACAAGTGGTCAAGACCTCCTACYGCATATACTTTGCCCTGGAAAACGGCAACACCTGGGTAGTACCTGGCTGACGTCATAACAGGAAGAGATTCCCATTGTAGTGTCTCTGGGTCAAACCGTTTTGCACACATGCTACTGTGACCACCAAGGACATACACAAACCCTTCTGATTCACAGACACCCGCCCACTTGCAYTGGACATCAGGTCCATTCGCCACCTGCATCCAACTGTTCGAAATGGGATCATATTTGCCAACTTTGTATCTGCTCACAGTATAYAGCTCATCATTTGCTACAACTACACGGAAATAATCCTCTCTTGAAACATGCGCAACRCTCATGCCAGCAACCACAGACCATTGTAATGTATCAACATTGAAGCATTGGACACTACTTAGTTTCTGTCCATTGGACCACCCACCAATAACATATATTTCTTCTGAAGCCATTCTAGGTCTGATTCTGAAATTTTCTGTTTCTTCACCACTAGAGTCATTGCTTAGCAAAGCTTGATACATCCGTGCTTCTCTTACTAGTTCTTTACAGATGGTATTCTCTTGCAACAATCTCTTGACGGTGTTATTGTTGACCAAGAAGTTCAAAGACATGAGCGGAAACCGTACGTACTGCATAATGTCCCCAACATACTCCTTCCTTGTATGGAAATCGTGGTTGATCCACTTCCAAACCGCATCAAAGACCGCTTCTTCTGACTGGACCTTGAGTGTGTCGTCTCTGATCAATGACCTGAGTTGATCGTAAGGAAGTAGGCTGAATTCATCTTCTTGAAAAACTTGTTGAAAATTCCATAAAGTAAACCGTTTCGCGTGATCGGTCAAGCCATCGAGACAAAACAACTTGGCAACGGAATGAAGGCCTAAACAGTTAGAAGGAGTCATGTTCCTTCGTAGAAAGGTTTCACAGTGATCGACTAGTGTGTCAAGACGAAGGACCACGCACACTTTAAGAATATCCTCGACTGTATCGGCGTCAATCTTCAAATATGAAGTGTAAAAGTACTCGATAACCATGGCCAAAGCATCAGCTCCCATATCTTTGACTTCAATAAACTCTTCGTTGACTTCTGAGAACCCAGACAAAAACATGGCTCTAAAGTAAGGACTACTAGCCGCCAAAATAGCGCGATGAGCTGTTATTGTTTTGCCATCGACAAGCAAATTCACGTCACAAAGTTCTGTGTACTGCCTCATGGAGTTTAACACTTCCAGGGTATCTCTCGACAGAGATTCTTCGTAGATTTCTATTGAAGTAGCATCGATGCTCGGTTTTCGGGGTTTCATAGTTGTTATAGCTGCCATTTTCAAGGACTAAATCCATGTCAATTGACCGGCAAGTCGAAATGTTGCATCAAGTAAACTGACAACCTTTTGTATTCCTAACACAAAAGCCGGGTTTGTCAACATKAGGAGCCTGGATCCGAATCTATTTTTAGAACCAAAACAAATTGAATATTTACATATTTATTATCATCTCATAGCTTTAAAATGTTCTTTTTTTGGTGACGTTATGGCAAGGTTTTTGTCGTCTTTGTCTTTTTTTCCAGACAGACATAACAATACAATAGCTGTAAATAATATAGATTAGATTTTTTGCATATCGAGAACCGCGAGGGACTGGTAAAGATTATGCGTGAATTATGCGTGTATTCTTCATCCGGCTACTATCCTGTGCGTCAAGGGTGGACTACCTGTGATACAATGAAGAAACATGTTCAGAATGAATTGCAGTTGACCTAACGCTCCTTTTTCAAGAGTTTATATTCGCAATGATTGATGACTTCTCTATTTGATCTCGGTACTTAATATTGTCAGTGAAGTCAGTATCCCAGCACCTTTCTCTTCTATGAACGTTTTCAGTGATAAAAAAAAGTTGATGAGATTTCATTTCCGTTGTGTTGAATAGTTTCTTGGTTGTTTGTTAGGGTTATCTTGTGTTGTTTTTGATCAAGTGCATGATAATTACAACGTACAGTACAACATCATTTTCGTACGGCAATTTCCCGATAACGTYTCTACTTAGATGCCCTTCTTTAAGAGATTATGGGGAAGTAAATACCGAGCAAAGCCCGCGGCGAAAGTACTTGGTACGACGCGCAGTACCGGTTATGTCGGCAGCATTCAAAAACCTTAAATTTTGAACAATACAAATCGAGCTACTTGAACATATAATTGTCAAGTTTTTAAAAAGTGTCCTTAACCTATCGATGGTCCTCGTAGGTTGATGAAATATTCCCACGGTCCGCTAGACACTCTGAACTGTTGATGACTGCCTGCGTTAATTTCTTATTTTAGAATTCTACTTTCAGAATAAAACAAAATCGAGAAGATATCTGTGAATTTTTTACTGGTAGTTTTAACATAATAGATTTTAAAATGGAACAAAATCACGAAGTCRCCACACTTTTTAACCATCATTCGTCACGTGACAACTAAAGAAAGTCATTTATAGATGTAACTGYTCCTTTTTGGAATCGCTTTGTCAGTTATTGATCAGTGTCCGTTGTAAGCTACTCTGTTCTTTCTTTTCTGTTCATTATTACTTCTTGCTCATTTGAAGTTTTTTTCGGCAAATGTTGGATTCAGTATATTGCTACACAGGCGGCGTAACTCTTTTACCTCCTTTATTTGGCGGTTCTCTTGAAATCAACATCAATCAATTTATGTTCCGTTGTTACATGTAATTATTATGTTGTGCTATATAGACCGGATTAACTATCATCATTATACAGCGATCGGCATTATACAGAAATATTGATTAACGACCATAGAGAAAATAAATGACAAAACGTTCCTTGAGTGAGAAGCCGATCATTAAGTTATGGAAATTAAATCTCAATAAMGAAAAGCAAGTTATACCCAGTTCCATTAAATCCCACTATGGTACTTATTTAACAGGGTTCTGGTTTTATACTGAATGTCTTATGATACTAAGAGAGGTATAACGTGAAAAGAAAATGATTCATGGGACTTGAAACGGAAATGATATTCACACTAAGTCCCTTTTGAAAAGCCAATAATGGAGAAAAGGTACTTTACTCAAGCTTMTGCACAGTTGTAGTAACAATCAAATCGACAAAAATAAATCAAATGCTGGTCTAATATGTGAATATTGGCGTCCAATTAATGACAGGTATCCATGTCTGATTAATGAACTCTTCGTAATTTTCCGGACGAATTGGAATGGCATGTAGTTTTATCACGCATTTAGTTAGTGGCCCTCTTTTATTCAAATAATAGCAAKAGATATATCAGCACAACTCAAGCGGTTTTCCAGGCGGACGGCTGTATTGGAAAATGACAGCACACTGGATTCGTCTTTGTGATTCGTTTTATTATGGTACTGATATTGAAACGACTGATAGATTGCAATTACTAAGRGTAAACAGGGTCAATATTAACTATGATCATACACGAGAAACCGTTTCTTATTTCTCTAGTTCTCGATCGCTCATTTGTTTCAAAGATAGTGATACGCGCACTAACACTTCTTGGCCTTATAATCTATGCAGACGTCACTGACAAGATGGCGCCCAAAAGGAGTTTTACGTACTATCCCGATTTATCCATTTATTCATCCATTCATTTGCGTACGTTTTTAAGATGTTTTTTCTTGTACGTGACGTTATTTGATTGATAAGGCTATATATGATCTGATTTAACGATCGGTCTTTAACAACACTTTAAAGAGATTTTTTTGGAAGTCCTCAAAAAAAGATCGGATTTTGCAAGTTCTTTAAATAGAAAATAAAGGCCTTATACTTACTTTAAAGAGATTAAGTGTTGGTAAAAGAAGTAAAGCTATTTAAAAGTAAGAAAAATGGTTAAAATTAACTATGGCGGGATTTTGGGTTTAACGTCGCGCTATGAGAGATGGGGACATGGTGTGGGTTTCATGGGGAGAAAAAACTGGGATTCATGTACCAAACAACACACCACAATCCACCCTTTAGGTTTCTGACAGAGAAGTAGAGAACTCAAGATAATGCGCTTACTAATGAAATAAAGCGCACGGCTTTGAACCAATCAGAGCGCGAGTAACCGCAAATCGGCGGATCTTGTTGTAATTCATGATAAATTGTTATTTTTGAATAGCAACAAAAAGAGACTTTAAAATGTCTGGCGTTTGTATTGTATTTCGGTGTCAATTGTAGAGATAGAACAAGTGTTTTCGCTGAAATCAATTACGAAATTTTACACTGTGAAATGATTCTTAGACTGAAGTTTTGACTCTTATATTTCAAGAAATGTCTGTTCGACGAGCGAAAGGGATTGAAAAGCAAACAATTGAATTAGGCCAGCACTAATTCACGATTACCGTACGTGATTAGAGGTTCTTTTTGCAGCTGTTTGCGCACCTCATTTCAATTATGTATTTTTTCACGTATACTTTATGATGAGACGAACTCTTTGGGAGATTTACAAGCGTTATAACCTGATCTACAGATATTCAATGCTATAGCTACTTTGAAAAACAAAAAAAAWTATTAATAAAAGTGCTTGTGGGTCACATATTAAGTCTAATGAAGTTATTGGTGGTTTTAACTCTACTTCTMACTCTAAAACATTAACTATAAAATCAATTTGCCACGTATCAAATCGCTTGTGTCGGACCACTGTGTTTTGCTACTTTATGGAACATTCTAAAAGAAAATCATTCTCGATCTTAAAGGCCGCCTAGACCTCTTCTGTTAGGGTTTTCCTGACGACCAAACAATCCATTATCGTTGCATGAGTTAACGGTCTCTGTTTTGTTGTAAATTGAGTTACTATAATTTCCACGCCTATTTACGTCATTACTTTATGTTTTGACATGCTTTCCTTGGGTCGGCGCTGTTTCTTCTTCTACCATGGGTTAATAATAATATATGAATCCTTATAAGCAAAAATGGCGTAGGTTAATGCAACGCAAAACAGTCCTGAATGTCGGTATATTTATGATACAATATTGGTAGAACATATTGTGCACGGACAAACTTCTTTGCAAGCGTTGAAGGCCTTACTCATAAAGAAGTATTTCAACTGCATGCGAGTAAAATACCCATAGTGCTTTTCCGTAGTGCTTCATTCTCTTTGACAACCTTGATGTAAATGGTTGTAGCAGTTTTTCGAATCGTTTTCATTTGGTTATACCGCAGCAAAGCCTGTGTTTATACTAAATATCCTAGGAGTGTATTTCACGGGTTTTCAGTGTAAAAATGCCTACGATACCTGTGAAATTGAAATGATGCCTTTATATTTTATGGCTATTTTTCGTGTCTTTTCTAGCAAAATTTCAGATTTCAGATTTTATTAAATAACTTCGGTGTAATATTTGACAAAAACACATATAACCTGCATATAGCAAAACGGCTAGTCTAGGCAGGTTAGATGTTTAGAAGAACTTAAAAATATTTTACAGTTGAGCAATGACAATAGAAGAGTATAAGGAAAATATATACTTGATAAATACTTGATAAATATATACGGGAAAGAAAGACAAATCCAAGCAAAATAATCAGACAATTAAAGTGTAAATCTACTTAATACGCTTAAGAGTGCATGGAAGAAAACCACTCCAGCAAATTACATCATACTATACGGTAGAAAGTTTGTATTTTGTTTCACGTTGAATATATCTGATTAATGATGTTGGACCTGAGAAATTAAAATTTACTCAAATGTTTCTTTCATTTAAATCTCGTGCTGTTGGCCATTGTAGAGACTGCACATTTCTAGATTTTATCAACAGTTGAAATATTGGCCATCGCCCTTGTTATCATCACAGTACGAAGTCCGAGGATGGAGAGTTGAATCAGTAAAAGAACGATCCATTGATACTTAGGTCATTYTTATCCCTCTGTTGTCATGGAAATAGCGTTGCGCTTCTACTGTAATGTTGATTGATGCGAGTTTTCTCTTGATATTCTTCCGGACTGGCCTCAGGATCTGACTTGAGATCAAAATACTTTGAAAAAGGGCGAAGAAATCTGATGTTTAGGGATATGACTTAGTAACTTGATGATTTGGCTCAAAAAATGTAAAAAAAAACTGGCGGTGGATATTTTAGCAGATGTGGTGTCTTTTCTGAAGATTTTAATTGAAAAACTGACAGTAATTTGCCAATATTGAGAAAAAATATCGTTATTAATTAACAGAAATTATACTGACAGTCAATGAAAGAACGAATTCGCCAAAAATGAGTCATTTTGCTTAGAAACAGTAGGCTACATTAAACAGTTTTTAATAAGAATCAACTTGGTGGCATTTGTTTTACATTATATATACACGTATGTTGTAGGCATACATACACAGATCAGTAGAATTATAGGATTTTTTGTGTAAAATTTGTGCAGGTTTTACATATATAAACCATTCTTTTTTTTAAGCAAAAGAGACGCTAGAGATGTTTGTTATTGTTAAAACATTTACATGTCATATAACCAGATAATAATTTTCTTCTTTTTTCTTTTTAATGATAGATAGTTTCATTAAATCATTTCATTGTTAATTAAGAGAAATGTGCACGTTCTGTCAAGGGTGAAGTAGTATAGGGTGCATTCAAAGAACCAAAAAGGTAAATTTTCTTTCGCTCGGGTTTTTTTTGATAATAAAAGCAATAAGAAAATAAAGAAATGTTTACTCATGAAAGCAGCAGTTGTATCTGTATAATATTCCTCGAATAACCAACAAAGCTTGTTATCATAATAATATTGAGATTACAAAAATATATTCTGTCGGTTTGGCAGAATTATATTCCTCAAACTTCAATGTTACTTCTTCTTTAGCAATAAATGTTTCTTTATTTCAAATCTTTTAATCATTTCATGGATCGCAGTATAATTTCATTAGTTATTTTCATTGTTTCACATCGCTTACATTTATGATAAATATGAAGGTTTTTTCGTTTAAAATAGGCGAAGCGATTTCTTTTGCCGTGATCATGGCGATCTATGATTTATGAGATATCAGCACAAGTACACAGGAAGAATACAGGTTACACACTCTGAAATAAAATGACCATGTAAATACCGCTCCATATTTTCTACATTATTTGTTTTCTAGATTCTATCAGATTATATTTGTAATGCATTACTGGCAAAGGGTTATGATTTTTTTCCTCGGATGAAGGTATTTTTTGTGGATTATCTTACAAGCACCTTTAGAATCTGATRAATCACACATCTGTTTCGTCCTCTTAGCACACTTTCAAGTGCTGAGAGTTTGGATGTCATTTTGTAATTGTCGCAATTTTTAATGGAAAATTAAACCGTGTAAATATATCAGTCGGAGGGATTCTTAATAAAGACATTAGCTTCTACCACACAGTCTTTAAGCAATCAGTCTCTCATGTCATGTACCACAGGGGAGCGCGAGAGAAGTCGACGCCCTCTACGTACATCGCACATGTCGATTCCTGGAGATATGCTTGAAGCAAGTTAGTGCCCTAAGCCTTTAATAAATAAACGCAGTAATGGTCGAGATTTCCCACTTTGAAYCGGTGGATTATACGCTTTGATCTAAATAGTATTACTAMAGCCAAACACAAAGCAAACCGATAAAGCAACTTCCATGTTTTGTATAAATTGAAAAGCATAAAAAAGTATCTCCTCGACTGAAATTGTTTGATTTAATAGCATTGCTTTGCCTAACTACCCTGAAGGTAGTTTCCAATCTTTTTTAGCCAAAAATAACCGGAAGTAGTTAATGTATTAATTGTAGGTTTGTCCCTAAAAGAAAAGTGGTCACACACAAGTGGAGTCGACTATCACAAGCCTTTTAAATGTCAAGATGTAGAGAAAGACTACGTTGATTGGTTAAATTATCACGTGATATCTCTGTCACTCATGCGTGATATTTGTACTAAAAGCCAATCCCGTATCAAGCTACTGCAGTAGTAGGTCTGCACGATTTCATCAATGAACGTCACTTGATGAAAAGGTATCGCTAGCGAACACTTTGTTGCTGTATCTGAGTCGAAGTGGGCGCACCAACTCATAGGTAATTTATTCGCAGCATAACCAATTAACTGCGCTACAAGSTGACGTTTATAAGTAAAGGTAACACAGACCACGGTAAAGAACTTTGACAGGCTGTCCTCAACATACTTCATTGTGACAATTAAGAAATCTTTCTTGAAACGCCGCTTAAGTCGACAAGTGTTGAGGCAATCTAAACTGAGCAACAACAAGAACGAAACAAGAGAACTGAAAGCCAAAACTTTATCTTGSATACAATGAATAATACTGGAGAGACTGCGGTCAACGTTGAGAATACAATATCAGTSGTGGTGTTTATTTTATCGTTGATCATAGGACTAGTTGGACATGGTTTAGTATTACTAGTAGTTCTTGGGAAAACAGGATCACGCACTGCTAGTGATGTATTTATTATGAATTTATCGATCTCCGAYTTGACTTTCCTCATTCTCAGTCTAACTATCAATTCCCATTCTTAYACTGGGTCTTTCCAGTTCTCTTTGTTCTATTGCAAGTTTGTCTGGCCCATGATAACAGCAACTTTCTTCGCTAGTGTTTTTACGCTGACTTCTATGGCCGTCCATCGATGTAATGGCGTCTTACGTCCGCTTAAAGCCAACGTTACTGCCAGACAAGCAACAATCTGGTCAGGGTGTGTCTGGATACTTGCAGTTCTACCAGTCTCACCGCTGATGATCATCACAGGTGTCACTGAGAACGAAGACGACTGTGAYGAGAAATGGAGCTTATCAAGCAAACAAGCTTTCACTGTGGCTATGTTTCTGTTACAGTATGCAATACCGCTTACGATTATAACAATTGCCTATGTTCAGATTGTATGGTGTTTAAGGCATCGTAAAATCCCTGGAACAGCAGTAGACAGGAACGGACGAACTATCTGTAAGTCCGCTWGTAGAGATAACATCCAGATCATTAAAACAGTTGCTGCAATTGTCATTCTTTTTGCCATATGCATGCTACCTCATGAAATCATCGGTTTTATGTTTTATTTTGGCGATAATAGCAGCATAGAAAGCCAGAAACGCCTGAATCGCCTGTTAGCCTACTCGGCTATTCTGCTCTACGTTCATAGCTGCCTCAATCCATTGGTCTACGGAATTATTACACATCAGTTTTACAAAGAATACAAGCGATATTTATTGATGTTGGTGTGTTGCTGTGGACACCGCGCACGACGTCTTATGATTTCTCAAAGCAGTTACAGTAGATCGAGATCTACACAGAAATCGATTCTAAAGAAGTCTTACAACGATATGAAACCACATAATGGTGACTCCATTGAGCTCGTGCGCAGCCAAACAAGTCCTAGAGAAGAACATGACGACGGCACGCAAATCCTCGAGGATACTCGAATCTAAGCTGSTGCCTTCATTGTTGATGTTACTGCTGTTATATTGAATGTTTACAAAATATTGGAGTCTTCGGGTCATTGCGGCAGGAACGCAATTATCTTTTTTTACAACAGGCAATTAAGTGTCTTGAAAGAGTCAACATATTCCTTTCATYGAGGTTTYTGCATGAAAAAATGATGAAAAGAATGTTTTATTTTTCACGTCTCAAAAACAACAATATTTGTTATTGTTTATTCCTCTCTCAAATAAGTTCCTTATCAAATCCGAYTTCTTTTCTTTTCTCATTCTTTKGCAAATTGTAWGGAGCAYAATAAAAGTTTATTTTCGTATTTCTTCTTTAAGTTTCATTTCCGTTGTTAACATTTGTCGTTGTGGTTGTTATTTTTACGCTTCATCCCATAATAAAGGCAAGCCGGTTATACACAATATTTATTTTTAGAAAGAATACGCTTCTGTTTAATTTTATTTTCAATATGAACAAAGCAAAAACHAGAAAAATGAACTGTTTTTCTTTGTATTTTSYGTAAAGGGTTCGCTCCTCCCTTTTACACGGTAGTTTAGTTTGTTACTCTCGCTGAGTAGAGATCTGCCGATGCATAAACATTGCAGCTACGTTGGTCTACTGCCGTTGACAATTCCCTTTGGTAATCAATCTTTTCTAACTCGACATTTAACTCGAATGACCATCACGAGGTGGTGTGGGCGAGATTTCGGACCGGTTTGTTGTGTTTGGGTTAATCAGATTGCTAGGAAAATTGCTCTCCTAATCTCTTGGCCACAACGGAGAAAGGATATTTGATAAACTTGAAGAGGTTTGGTTCTTTGTCTTTTACCTCACCTGTTCGAGATTGTCGCGACAACTACAGATGYGAGCCACAAGAAAAAGACTTTGCCGAACGGCCAATATACCACAAACAATCWAACTTTGAAAGTGGCAGAGTGCGCGGCGTCTTTGCGTCGTGGAACGATGATCTTTTGTTGATCTTATATATAGAAAAAAAAAACAATATCTCACTAGTAGAACAGCTATTTCTCCTCGCCTACTCGTATCTTTCTGAGAGTAAGTTAATGGTTTGTGAGGAGGATTTAATGTAAGCTTTAAAGGCTCTTGAGTTTGCTGGACAATCTTCGAATTTCAAAAACAAATAGTTGCTAATATTATTATATATTCATTTGTAAATGTAATTACTTAAGTAGAAATCAAAATTACATGATGATAAAATCATGGATTTGATAAAAGAGGCACTTTCAGTTTAAATCTTAAGAAAATATCAGTCCATTCGAAGAAGTACTGCCGATAATGACTAAAGTCTTGTACATTTAATCTCTCATTTGGATTAAGACAGTAAAATATCATAGAGGGATAACATAGGATGTAGCTAAAATGGTTAATGCGTACTATATATAGAGCAATGTAGAAATTGTTTTTCGGTGGTATAGTTTCCTTGCAATCATTCTCATGCCGTGTAAATAATCTGATTTTCACATTCAATTTATTTCGTCTAATTTCATTAAGAAAAAGTGCCTCCTAGCGTGTGCGCAAAGTATTGTAGTCTGATAAAACCACAGAATGTGATTAAAAATAAAGAAAAAAACTCTGTTTCTTTATCTTTTAATAAAGGTGATGTGAAAATACAACTCTGCACGCAAACCCAATGGCGCATCCACGAAYTATCGAGAAAAGAAAACCAATACAGCCATCACCTATTGTGAAATAAGTAGTATACTAGGGTCGCAATGATCCATCTATGAAGGACCGACATCATGTGAATAAACCCTAAAGCCTGTTTTACTTGCCATGGTGTCTGATCTTTCATATAAACCCCAATAGCCAAGTGCGCGTTCCACAAAGAAAATCTTACGTCAGAAGATTAGAAAGTAAACCATGAAGACACAGACTATGGCACGAATAAAAACCAATTCTTTTAGCACTCACAGCGGTCTGTAAGGAGAATAACTGCATGATAAAATTGATCATTACGCCTCGTCTCTATAGGAGAAAAGTTTGTTTTAAAAAAACAAGCATTTGTTGTTCATTATTTTGTTTTTGTCATTCAAAAAAAACTGAGTCACTAACTTTTTATGCAATGGCGATAACACGTCTACGTCATAGAAAGATGAATAGGAATTTGAAAACAAGATCTATCTCGTCTATCTTGGGCTGACTTTTAAAACGATGCACTTTCTAGAAAATCATAAGATTGAATTGTGACTTTGATCACATTAGTATTTACTACAGACATTTTGCATGRGCACAAAAAAGARAAATCGGTTGCACTGAATATRYCATTAACATTCTCCAAGCATTCACCCACAAATGCATTTATTCTTTTTTATCGCAAAATCTGTACTGTTTCTGATTGCATGGCTATTTGAGTAACTTGTTTTGGTTTTTAAATCAAAACAAAAAAGGAATTACATTTTTGAGCTTTTCTCCCGTCGCTAGCGATGTTGTTTTTGTTTTTAAGACAAAGAACTACAGTTCCAATTGACATTAGAATTCGGCCCCTTGGCAATTTTCTCTCACTTAGACTTGTCTTTCACCTAACATCCTATCGTAAATTGCTTTAATGGACTCACTAAGGAAAATAGCCCGTCACAGGGGCTGGGTGCTCATTATAAGCGACATTGAAAATATTCTTTACAGACGCACTCCCWGGGATACGCTCCTTTCAAAACAAAACTCTCCTACTGAATATCAAATCATTATGACCAACAGTTTAAGAGCTTTGAATCATATCATTGTCTTTTCGTCTCATTTACGGCTATAAACTATTACTTGATTATTAGCCTTACAATCATTAATAAACAAACAAATRAAAATAATTCAAGCTATATTTAAAATGCTTGAAACACAAGATGCGGTTTGTCTATTTTGGGATTTTAAGAACAGAGTCCTTCGACATCGCAATTGACTTTCATCGTAACGGGTCCTCTACAGGAGTAATTTAGCGTGTGATCACTGGCGATTTGTGCTGATAAATAATACATATCATTCCCCTTAAAGCTTTATTATCATCGTTGGAATATGAGCTTTTTCTGTTACCGAAAACAGAGATGGAAATACGATGTTTGAAATGATACAAAAAAAGCGGCAAGAATTATGCTGATAATTATAACAATAASAAAGGCATTTTACTAATATTTTTGTAATTCAAAATCAAAGTTTCTAGCACGTTGTGTGCTCTACATAAAACTATCAAATCGCATTGATTTGTGATGTTATAGCATTCTAACTTCATTATAACAGTTTGCAGACGATGCGTCTTGACTAAGTTCATAGATAGAACTAGAAGTTTCTAGGTAAAAGAGACATTTACACCTGAACTATGACATCACCACTATGGCGTTACTTGAAGCGAGCATTTTAACGAAATAACCAATAAAGGAATCGATTTTCTTTAGCGATATTTATTTTGTCAGCAATTTTGACGATGCGCGCGACTGTTCCGTCACAATGGTAAACAGAAATGCGCATTSATCTTGTTACGTCACAGCATGCAGTTACGTCACAATTGTATTGTTACGTCATTGTGGTATTCATGAAGCATTACCTGTTTGCTTTCSTGTTGCTGGTCTTGACTAAAACKGGTAAGAGCATGATATTTCTGATTGTATCGTCTAGTTTAAAACATTGTCTACGTCGGCTAACAGATAAAGAGTGTGTCGGTTGATATCCTATTAGCTAAATTGCACAAGAKGTGATAGTATAGACAGATTATTTGTAGGATAAGGTGAGGGTTTACCTGAGTGTTGAAACTCAGGTTTCTTGGTGAGGGTGGTCATGACCAGGATTTGTGACATCATTATAGAGTTTCCTTTTAGACGGCACTCTTGAATAAGACTGAATAAGTGATGTTGGACGAGACAAGACTGCATTAAGATAGAAGACATGAATCAATCAAGGAGACATGATGTTAACCATATCAGACTGAGAAGCATATTGTATATCATTTCATAGCAGTACCTCTCTAAACCTTACATTTTTATAGGTAATTCCTTACAATGTCATAAATGCCCACCACATGAACACCGAAGCGCTAAGGCATGTCTGGCAGGTCCACCCCAAGACTGCAAACCATACCAAACTGGCTGCTTTTTCCAATATGACAAGCTTAATATCAAACTAGGGTGTGGTCGTGACTGGACACGCCCCGAGGGGTGCCATGGGACTATCTGTATTAGCTGGTGYAAGAAGGATTTATGTAATGAAATGCTTCTACGAAAAGATGCGCCATTTGAGCTCGATCTTGAAGAACTGCCTACAACGGAAGGTCCCTTGATCCTGTCCTATAATTGGTTCGAGTCAGTGTTTAACAATGCACCTCGTCATAACTTGAAAACTTGGTTACTATGTTTAAATTTTGTGTTCGTTACTCTGTATTTGTATGTGTAGGGAACAATTGAGTTATTTAACTTACGTGAAATGCTGTATTTCATATAACCATGCTAGCTGTCCAGCTGAATATTTACAAAACTATTAAGAATCTACACTCTTTACATCAGTAACTTATATTCACACAATCAATTTAGTACACAATACATTTGTCACTTGCCATGACAGATTTTTTTACATAAGAACTTCAAATACATTGCATTATATAAAATTGTTTTGAGAACAGTTGTTATAGCAAAGCAGTGAAACCAATAGTTGAAGGACATCTAAATGAGTACAAAATTCATGCAAMTTCATGTAATCTTTAGGTATATGCTCGATAGAAATCGGGACAATACCTTCCAAAATAGTAAGCTTGAAATACAACGATCATAAATGGGAATAAAATTCGACAACACTTGTCAATGACAATCGATAGGTCCTTTGAAGGACTGATGACTGTAGCTTCTTCTTCTTGCCTTACAGGACTTGTAGTAGTTTGCTCATTTTCGCCTTGAGTGGTATCACCGCTGGTATCACCGCTGACGCCGTAAAAATTCATTTCAACTTCATTGATCTCATCCATTGCTGTTACGTTAGGACTTCCGAGATTACCCTGAGAAAATATACACACGTAGTCACACACGCGCACAAAAGAACACGACACAACGCAACGTAACGCAACGCAACGCAACGCAACACAACGCAACGCAACACAACGCAACGCAACGCAACGCAACACAACGCAACGTAACGCAACACAACACAACACAACAAAACGCAACGCAACACAACGCAACACAACGCAACGGAACACAACACAACACAACGCAACACAACGCAACGCAACGCAACGCAACGCAACGCAACGCAACGCAACACAACACAACAAAACGCAACACAACAAAACGCAACGCAACGCAACACAACACAACACAACACAGCACAACACAACACAACACAACACAACGCAACGCAACACAACACAACACAGCACAGCACAGACTTATTTATATTCTTTTACGTTCATGGCAGGTTTCTTGGTCTTTTTTCTGTCTTTCTTTTCCTGTCTCTTCCTTTCCAGTACGTCTGGTCGGTAGTTGTAGACCACAACGCTTTCCAGTAAAGCAAAAAAGATGAACATAAACGTGGCAAGAAGGTACTCATCCGCTGCTTTGATGTAACTGACTCGGGGTATTGAACTATTGATGTATTGTGAAAGAAAAACCTCGGTTAAGAGTGTAGTAATGCCAAGTGCTAATCGCTCTCCGATCTCATATCGATCCATCCAGAAAGGAAGACAAGAAACCAGAGCACAAAGGATGCAGGGAAAAAAGAATTGAAGAAGGAAGTACCGAAGTCGACGTCGTACGATGATACGAAACGATAGTGAGCTGTACTCTCCTGTAAAGAAATGTTTGTTGTTAGTTACATGTATATATACAGTCAACACTTTTCGATCGTACCAAACCCGTCGTACTGCACTCGTAGTAAAGCCGAGTTATTCTCGCCCTGTTATGGAACTATAATCGTTAATACGTACCTTCATCTTCGATTTTTTTAACCTTTTTAACCACAAACGTCGGTATTTCTTTGAGTAACATAGAACCACGGTCCCATGACAACAGCACTTGATTGGATGCGTGCGTATCTAAAAATATAGAACATTATCGGATGCTTGTTTTATCGGCCAACGTGCGCGTTCTTAGTATTAGTTAGCTTGGTGCGCATTGCTACAGTTTGTGCGCGAGACCTTGAAAATGTTGTATAGTCTATAACGCTATGTTTTATTCAGTATTTTATATGCAGTATATGCAGTGTATTTCTAGCGAAATAAACCGCCGTATATCAACTTCTAACGATAAAGCAACTCACATGTGAAGATATCGATGTGCAATTGTTGGTGATCCATCGGGTAATACAAGAAATCCATTCGTGAAAGAAGAGTAAGAGAAATCCTGAAGAAAATTACTCAGTTTAGTAGCTTAAGTAATTACGAGAAATTGSTTTTTGTTGAACCGAACAACATAATCAGTATCAACTTAAGCAACATAAGCAACTTAAGCAACATGACTAAGRACCYAATGATTGCGATTGTTACTTACAAACACGAGTAATCCACAAGGCCATCTCCAAATATCCTAACTGTGGGTGTATACGGATCAACTGTATAWGACCTTGCATTACTGATATATGTATCAGGCAGCCATATCTTGAAGATATCCTCTTGTCGTAGAAGAACATAGGATTTCTTATCACCGGGATTATACTCAAGTCTTGGGTCCCACCATGACTGCTTGAAATACACCGATGCACGAAATTCCTGTAGCAAAAAGAAATGATAAAAAGTTTAACAATATGGTGACTTCGTTTCATWAGTACTTTGCCGCCACGTCTTACTTAATAAGAACTGATGTGTTMTTTGAATTGGTTCAGTATTATTCAAAGTTATAGGTACTCATTTCAGATCATATCGGAGAGCTACATTCCCATCATTGTTTCCGGAATGTCCTGATTGAGGGTCACATATATTCTGGTGCTAGTATGAACACTGATTAGAAATCTTTAGCTTTGGTCACAGTAGCACCAGCATGGCTGACATATGTCAAATAAAACCACTGCGATTATAACTCACCATATTCTCCTCTGAGATGTGACTTATTGATCTAATGTCAAATCTTATCTGTATATCCGTCGGCTTGACTTGAATAACAAAAACAATGAAAAAAATGATACTATACAAATSTACACATTATTCCAGATTCACTTGCTGGAAGAGAGCATTAAAGTCTACCCTGTCGCAAAAGGTTTCTACTCTTCTCACTAGGCAGTAGTCTCCTCGCAGCCATTCTTAGTGTCGGGYTCCCTGTCCCCCGCACCACAAACAGGGAGCCCGWCACTAAGAACGGCTGCGAGGAGACTAACTAAGTAGGGCCTTGGTCATGATTAATTCGGTGTTAGGGCTGACTATCTATGACTATCTAGACTACGACTATCTATGAACTACAATCGCTGACAAAATCCTCGGACCATTCCAGAGAATTACCCGGAGACAATTTCATCCCTCTGACCCCCTCAATGCAATGTTGTCATAGCATGTTACCATAGTACACAACCATCGAAAAMAAGACTCAACATTGTTGAAAGGAGTTAGGGGGAGAACTACAAAAAAAAAATATAAAAGAAACAATTTTTGGCTTGAGACAAATAATTCTATGGTCYAAGGTTTTTCGGCAACGATTGTAGATGAGTAGAAACCTTTGGATCCAGGGTAACTATAGCAGTGTACAATGCGTACCTCTATAGTATGGTCTTTCTTGTTTTACGTAATTCTTGAATATTTTCTGCAGAATAAACGATACATTTTCTGGTTCCACTAATTSCAAATCTGTTTGTACTTTTTCATATCCAAAGCTGGACGTATTCCTGGTGTTCGTTTCGTTATCCAAGCCAGTATCTAGCTCCGGATCGTCTTGTCTGAGAACAGAAGAGCAAGAAGATCCATCTCAACTATTGAGATCATTGGAAAAATGTAACTGCATAAATGGAAGAAATGCCATGTGTGTACAAATGGCAAGACGTGGCACTAAATACGAAAGAATGCAACATGGTCGACAACAGCATACGAAGTCGAACAAGAAAGAAGAAGAACTGATCCAAAAACTAGACGATTAAACTTAACAGGAATAGCTAGAGCTCAGGAACGGAACCAGCTGATGGGTACAGGGGGGTTCACATCCTTCAATACCTTCCCTTAGATCCTGTCGTTTTTGTGTAGTGCATCCCCCTCTCTGAGTGGGATGGTTCCGTTTATTGGAGTTTAAAGTTACCTCATGTCATCATCTGTGCTTTGTGTATCCGTCAGGTTCGCTGTACTCCCCAGTTCGTCTGTCTCATCGTATCTGTGATCAGGAAAGTTTTACAAATAATGCATTAAAAGACACATGAACAATTAGAAATAATAACAAACTTTAATTAGTAAAATTAAAATAATCTTTTGGTGGTTAAGGTTTTACCAAGCATTGTGGTACTTTAGTTCTTGACGCTGATTATTGTTACTTGCATTGATGCAAATAAATTATTTATCATCAGTACTACCAAATATAACAAGGCATATCACTCGGGATTAACATTACAACGTTTTAGCATATCTCAGTACTATTATTCAAGTTTTTTACATCAAGATTTAAAGTATGTTCCAGGTCTTCTTGTTCCCTCGGCATTAATAATCTAGATCTTAAGATTTCTCTGTACGTAGGAGTCATATTCGATTACACACTGTTTCGTCTACGTTTGTATATGTTTAATTTCCGAGCTTTCGGATCATTTTTTTCCTCATGTGTTTAGTTTTTAAACCGCTAGTTAATTCATTGCTGCCGCAGCGTAGCGAGCCTGAGCGAGCGAAGCGTAGGCAGCAACTCTAATCTGGAGAAGGGCAAAATTTCTCGATTTTATCCCAGGATGCAGTACGTTTTCATTAACCGTCTTCCTTTGCGCCACTATAAAAGGGTGAACAGTCCCGGATGTCCTTTCTCCCTTGTGTTTACATTAGCTTGTGTTCTTGAGGTGAGTCGAGTTTTGTTGTGTTA